GGACGGTTTATTGGTTGTATAGAAGGGTGCGTTGCGTTGATTATATCGGTTGTCCCAAGCGGCAAACGGGTACGAGAGAATGTTCTGCTTCGTGTTTGGTTTGAGGACCAGAGTTCTGAGGTGTGTGTCGATACGCGGGTACGTTGGGGTAGCGTAGGCAGGGGGGTTAGGCCATGTGGCTTCGTCATGCAAGCGCAGAAGAAACGAGTTCCCCGTATTTCTCGAGACTGATGTTGACTTTAGTCACGCAATTTTCAGTTGGCGACGCAATTTTCAGTTGGCGAGCTTTTGGGAGGAAGGGTGCATGACTACCGGACCTCATTGCTGCGAGGTGCCAAGATACGGGAGTGGCTTTCTAAAGAACGAAAGAGAATGTATCCTGCGAGAATGCTGCTCGGGGACGAACGGAATTCCCTAGTTGTCGCCGATAAGTCCGAAAAGATGACGCCGGTGTGAAAGCAAATCTGTGAGTGCCTACCCAACAAGCAAGAGGTGGTCTGCAGTGTGAGCATCCCTGGGGGTGATTTGAGGACGTTCCTGAGGAGGATTGTAACCTGATGTTCGCTCAAACAACGGCGACAAGAGACCCATCATGAAGGAAGGTGTCAGCCGTGTCACGCCGGTTTTTTCGTGGCCGATACCACTGTACTTCATCTGCGGCACAGACGTCCCCAAACACGTGTGACCTCCCCTCATTTGACGTATCTATGCCCTACCACCCGGAAACCGTTTCCTTTGAACTGAATGTAGGAACTTCGCACAACATTTGTTTGTAGCGACCCTCACTCGCTTCAAGAAGGAACTGAAAACAATGCACGCGCTCAATCGTTCGGCAAGCCTATGTAGGTATGTTCTCCATGGCCCCGGCAAAAAAAATGTGAGGTTACGCGGTATACAGTCGTACGACCTAGGGGGCACGCGGGTTGGGAGATGTGTACAGGAAGTCAGAGGCCCAGGAGAGGCATCACACAGCATATCAAACGGCGTGACACATCAGCCAAGCATGATTGACCAAGGGTCCTCACGTGCGCTCCACACAGCGGAGCCTAGGTATTTTGAGTGATGTGTCCCCATTTGGGCTTACAGTATTAGGAAGGTTAAAACCCGCTCGAAATTCGCACGAGTCACCAAATGCTGACGACGCCAAATGTTGTGGGATTGCATGAGCAGCGATCCCTGAAGACCATGACGAAGACTCACTTGTAAATTTATTATCTTGGAACAGCAGTTCTTGCTTGCTGTTGCCTTGCTCTCAAAGGTAGACTGAGCACAAAGTGGGAAGGCATGTATGTTCCCTCTTAAGAGGGGCCACAAAGGTCTTGTTCCCTGCTTTATCCTCCAATCGGGAGTTACGTATCCCGCACTTTCCTAAGGGAACTCCTCCGCTACACCGTTGATACTTGCTTCAATTCAAATCCCATCACAATGAGTACGAGACGGAGGGGAGAAAAAGACGGCCATGACCATGTTGGGCGGCAGCATTTGGAGCGGGAAATGCCACTTTGTGGCGTGTAGACGGGGAACCGTTTAGCACCGCAATTTCTCCGGTTGAAAACTACGGCAGGGAATGACCGAGAGCAGCCCCGACGGGTCAGCCGACTGTGTGAAAGCTAAGATGAGGTGAAACTTCTCTGTTGACCGTCCCGCTATGTGTCTGCAGCACGACGAATGCCGCAAACAAACGGCAAACCGCTAAAGAAACCAGAAACCAGAAATAAGCCGGAAAGGCAGTCTGTCCAGACGCGGAAAACAGCAGGAAAACCCATGACGACGAGGGCGAGAATCAGGCCTAGATCGTGCCGAACTAACGTACGAAGCCTCGTGGAGACGAGGGCCATAACACGTCTATCAAGTAGCACTCCAGGACGGCGGCGAGGGGAGTGAACGCGACAATTCCAGGCGCAGCAATCTTTCATAGACGTACACAAACGAGATGGTCTCAAGTCCGACCAGACAACAGCAAGAAACCTCAATATAGACGAGGAGATCGCGAGGGATACATGACGGAAACCAGTAACAACACACGCGGGAAATGAAGTCGAAACATACGCGAAAATGAAGTCTGACCAGACGAGTAAATCAGGTCAACAATCTACGAAGAGGACGAGGGCGAAGCCAAGATAAGGCAAGGCAGGGAAGGGTCTGCCGAGCAGAAAAAACCTCGTGGAGAGGAGGGCCGGCCATGATACGGCGAGGAAAACGGAAATGATGTCACGACGAGGCATTAGTCATCGGAGATAAGGATTAGAAATCAGTCCTTTCCTCTTCATAACCGGAGACCCCATGAAAATGAGAGCAGGAGCTGCGAAGGCGAGAAGTCTGTAGCGTACGACGTACATGGTTTTGCAATCAGAAGACTTGCTTCTTGTATACGTAACCTCCCGATCCTTATCCCTAGCTAGTCGGTATCCCTACAAAAGTCCTACACAACAAGGAAGGGGGTCTCCACAATGCGTTTTCCAACATGCTTGTCGTGCGTGTGTTCGCCTTCGTAAGTTATGCCCAGTATAGGGAATTTTTTTGGACGCTCTTCCAGTCGTTGAGACTCGTGCCGAATCAAGTCCATTGGTCCGTCACTACTGTAGTAGCAAAACGTGAGTTCAGTTCAACTCCGGGCGTCGCTGGGTTGGTACGGGGTATCTGAGCTAGCACGGAGGAGCGCACGAAGATATGAACGAAACGATGATGAAACGTCCACACGGTACAGTCGTCCCCTTAAAGACACGCACCTTTCTATTTTTTTGAAAGTCTTTAACGCGGGGATGAGTGATAAAGTTTCCAGGGATGATAACTCACCATCCCCGGGGTCAACGTAGGCGTGCCATACGTCAAAAGACGCGCAAGTGCCATGCCATATATCCGACGATCACAACGTGGTGGTGGTTGAAAGTCGCACGTTCTTACATAGACTATACCACGTCGTTCGCTATTGAACCTTCACATTGTAACACTCCACCCCCCATATTGTTCTTGGAACAGGACGAGGTGCATAGTTGCTGTTTCTATGGTCCGTTACTTGGAACGGGGACGCCCGTGATGTCCCTCGTGTTCGACACGCAAGGGAGCGAGGAGAAGTGGGCCCCCCATAGAGTTCCGAGAAAGGGAGGGGGGCACACTTAGTAACCTTTCAGGTTACACGCGCTCCTGTCCGTGTGCCCTCCGCTGCTGCAGATAGATCTAACGAACCAGTCCGTATCCAAATACATAGCATTACGTGTGTTCTGGTCATTTCTAGATGGGAGGGCTGGGATCGTCGAACGCAGCCGGCCTTACGTGTCTGCCCCAATCTAAGCATGACTGTTAGGACACGCATACATGGGACTCTGAAAATACATTGTTCGTGGCAGTTGGGACAGCTACTAGGCTCGCTCGTGTTGTATGCCGCGGCAAACTGGCGATGGCCTACACTGAAGTCATCACGCACGTGGGCCCTGTTTCAAGTTTTCATGTGAAGAGAGGTCGAGAGGAATGGTTTCCCCATATTCTATCCGACGGTGTCATGACTACATTGCATTTGCACGTCCGGGAAGACGTCGTTGAACCCCGATGTTTTGACTCTCCCCTTTGTGTCATCCGTGTTTGATGCCACCTGCAGAGGGGAGTCATCCTAGCGCCGACGGAATTCATCTGTGCCAGGACTAACGGACCAAAGGTGGGACCGTGGGGCTGTGGCAACACCCGAGTCGGCAAGTGAGGTGGAAGCTGTGTTCTGCTCGCGTGCCTATGTGAATAAATACCGATTCTGCATTTGTCGCGTGCATGCTTTGGTTAGAGGTGTATTGCACGTATCTCACAGTTCGACTGAATGCCAGATAGGTTGGTTGCTGTAGTGTCGGTTCGAAAGGGTTGCTGCTGAGCAACTTAGAACTGGTGCATCGCTTTTCGATCACCGACAAAATTTCTGCTTAGACTAGTGGTACAACTAATGCACCGAAACACTATAATTCTGAGAGGAGGTCGGCCACGCTTGCAAGTTCAGCGAGTCTACACGGTGAAATATTGGCGTGCTTTCCGACTTTCCACGCATCTATTATTGAATGATTTGGTTTGGATTACAGGAAAGGCAACGGGGAAACATGCAGCCTGCATTCTTCGAGAGACCGACTTATTATCGCTTGTTTGCACTATGATCCTTAAGACACTCGAGGCACACGTTCCGACGATCAGAAGGAGCTCTCATAGCTCAGTTGGTCAGAGCGTACGCTTAGTAAGCGTAAGGTCCGTGGTTCGACTCCGCGTGGGAGCTTCTCTTTCTATTTTTCATTTTTTTCCCTAGCTCGTTTTTAGTTGATGCTCTTCCTCCCTTCTTCCCCTCGCTCCTCGACAAGCTTTTGCTTTGACATGGGTTGTAGCGAAGGGAGGGGTCTTTCTGGCGAGCAGGGCTAGACTCACCCTCAAGGGATGACCGAAACCTTCTTGCTGCTGCGCATCCGCCGCGAGGCGTGCGTGTGGTGGTGGAGTTGGGTCGGCACTGATGGGGTCAGGCGGGAAAATGTAGATGCGCGGGCCTTTCTGGCCGTCGGCGTTGGCAGTGATGCCCATCTCATTTTTGTGCGCGGAGGCAGACACCATCAGAAAGGTGGACGGGCACTACACGGCCCTAGGTTTGCTAGAGGGAGCTGTATTGCCTNTTCGTTTTTTTTCTGACGTTCCGTGTTAATTTTGTGTGATGACGTCGTCACCGATTTTGTAGAGAGACCCGTTAGAGATGGCGTGGCTAACCCGGGTGCGTTGGTTTTGTGCCTGATCGTGGAAGACCCCTTCAATGTGGAACGATTCTTAGCTAGTGTCGATATTTTTCACTGCAGTGCCTACACAGACGATCGGGAGAGATTCGGGTGATTGTCAATTGCTGCTATGATGGCTTTGGTTGGTTGTTCTTTTCACTGTACGGCCGCAGACACATTCTGACAGCACTTCAGACAGCAGCTTCGTGCCCCGCCAGATGCTTGTTCCATGCCTACCATGGTGTTTTTGTGCAGACAGCACTTCAGACAGCATTATGCTGTAGTCGGCAATCTTCCGTTTTGGTATAGAGTGGGACAGGGAGGAGAGTACCATCCCCGGGTGACCCTGACCCAGTGCCAAAAGTTCAGGACGACACCGACGAGCATCGTCGCGGACTCCGTAGCCTCTCCCACGCTGGCTGCCCACGCCACGTACCAGAAGCCGACGATCGCCGACGCCAGGGTCAGGCCGGTTCCCAGCATGAGGCGGTTCCTGACATCACGGATGGCCCTTCGCTCCTGGTCGATGGCGTCATGGACCTGCATGATACCCCACGGCGTCAGCGTGCTGAGGTACACGAAGTAGACCCACCACTCGCCGCGGTTCCCGCTCTCATCCTCGCTCGACATGGTGATCAAGATTGTGATACCCGGTGTAAACTCGGTCCCGCGACGACGAGGCGAGAGGTGCTGTCTGTAGTCCACACGGGAGGCAGCACCTACGGAGGACCTTAGCGAGGAAGAGGCACGCGGAACCCGCGGAAATTTCGAAGAATCATCCCTGTTCAGGAACGGTTCGAGAATTCGCAAATTAGGCGCGAAGTTGCCCCCCCCCTGTCCAGGAACGCCCCGTTCCCCCTGGTAGATGCCTCCAGGATGTGCGATCAGACCTCAGATCGCAACAGTACTAACCAACCCTAACCCATGTGTACCATAATAGTGGCTTGGGATCGTTCTCGTGGAAAGAAATCGCATAGAGTACAGTCGAGGGACCCTTTTAGTGCCGGTACGTGCACAGAGCGTTCACCGGCACTAAATCGGGCACCCGGCACTATTGCGAATAGTGCCAAAACGGCACTATTGAGGGCTGGCCAATCCCTCATTAGTGCCGGTACCGGCACTAATGAGGTTGTGTTCGATTTATGGTGTAGCGCCCACGCTTACGGGGCCAACAAAGAACGAAATGGATCGACACTATTACTGTACTGTTGAGTGAAGTTCCAGCATGGGCGTGGGCAGAGTTGAGTTTTCTTTTTGTTGTCTTGGGGCGCTCTTTGGTTCTTCATTTTCTTCTGCACCTCACTTATTTGCTTATTTGTGTACTGTCGTCGGGACAAATTCTCTCCTGTTT